AAAGACAGAAACATCACAGGAATTGGTGAAGTGATGGCAATCTTGCAGTCTTCATGTATTACCAAGAATAACGGTTCAAACACACCAACTTCATATAAGGAATATACTGGTCACAGCAGACAGTTCAGATGCCATCCTAATAAAAAGCATCAGGAATTTCTTGTGTGAAGCTGAATATCCATTCATACATATGTATCTCAAGCAGTTATGGAAACAAACATTGTCCCTGTACACACATACAAAGGCAACAGTATGGAGAAATACTTGAATGACTGACATACCAGAGCACAAGCCCCACAGGGAAAGGCCTCCCCTCTGAAAAGATTCCATCTGAGAGTTCCAAGAGGCAGAAAAATACTAGGAAAGAATGAAACTGTGCCATTTCTCCTGAGGCAGCTTTAAGGTTTTGCATATTGAAATATTAAATCCTACAATCCAAAGAGCTTAGAGAGTCCTGACTAGAAACCTAACACAGAATGGAAAACATAAGCAACTTCAAAACACTTTTGCCTCTCCACTTGCAATAACCTGCCATGCCTTTGTTTGGCAACTACTTGTGCTTAAACGATTTATGCGAAACCATGAATAGAAGAGCACATTCTGCTTCCAAACAGTATTAATCAGCTAGAAGGTGATAATTCACCTAAATGAAATATTGTCATTACTAATTTTCCAACCTACATGCATGAGGGAGACTTAAGGTTCCAGGCTGCTGATCCAGTACCATGCAAATTTGGAAGCAACATCACAATTGCTGGAATGCTCCACTGATAAGAATGAAACAAAACAGTTTCACCATGAAGAAGAAAGTGATTAATCTTGAGCAGAAATTAGAATAATTACTTAGAGTAAAGAGTCCTTCAGTTGGTTTAAAGATTCTGACTCACATCTGAAGGAACAGTTAAGCAGGAGAAAACTTGATGATTCAAGTTTTATGAGAGAATAAAGATGATTGCCCTAGAGACTCAAAACATATTTTAAATTCTAGGAAATTTCTGTTTTTTCTCTTCTTCTTTCTACTGTGACAGTAAACTAAGTATTACCACAGTTTAAGAACAGTTGATGCTGCAAGTGTGCAGATCTCAACTGAGATGGCAACTTTTACTTCTCAAATACATTATCTCATAGTGTGCAGGTTGTCCTGGTGCAGTTTGGTCCCAAATTGTCAGTGGACCTCAAGTTCCAGAAGTAATCTGGGAAACATTAAGTAATGAAGAGAGACATAACAAAAAGGACCCATGTACCCCTCAGTATTTGGCTTCCTGAGGATGCAGGCTATGTGAACATTCTATAGGCAAAGAAAACTCTCAATACTGCTTCTCCTTTCCAGTCCATCTATGTTGAATTACAATACACCCAAGAGAATTCCTGGGTTTCAGTTTAGTCAGCTCACACTTGGCTAGCTGTGTGTTGGCAGAAACAGCAGGAACTTCACAGCAAAAAATTTGCCTCCAACCCAGCTCAGCCATGTTTTCTTCACATTCCGAGGTCTGACCAGTATTGTGTGGGTTTCCAAAATTTTGTGGCAGCAATAATAATTGCTGCATTAATAATAAAATGGCACAGCATACTAAATGGAAATTGTGTCCAAGGGGCACAAAATTATTCACCAAGATAGCTGCATTAAATAAATGGACAAAGAATTTTTTTTCTGGTAATGATAAATTTGTTTAGGTGGTAACATGCTATTCCACAGGCAGAATTACTTTATTTATTTGAAAAGGGTTCTCATAGTATTCTAATGATGTTGAAGTCTCAAATTGGGAAGAACTGATTTTATCTGGCGAAGTCACATCTTTCTCTTTCATTTAAAAGCACACTAATGACAGACTATTCTTCTGCAGGAAGCATACTTTCTAATGTGACTAGCAACTCCCAATTCTATGATAATTTTTAACTATTCAACTGGATTAGATATGCACTTTGGGGGATAGGTTAATATATTTGTTTCAGTGTAATGTCGCAACTCTACTTTTCTAATTCAATCCTTTCAGAAAAGTCGCTACTGAAATCCTACTCAGTATCTCCAGGGTATGTAAATGGTTGCTCTGAGATTAAAAAGCTTCAGAAAATAGTTAAAACAATTCCTAACAGACAATAGCAGTGATGTATGTTATGTATTAACCGACAAGCAAGGAACAATTAAGGGTGAGGGTTCACAAAGATGGCTGAAGCAAAGTCCAAAAGATGCCAAGCCCAATCTGATGGGTGAAAAGTGAAAATAACTTGTACCAAAAGCAATTCTTCCATTCTAAAGACTAGGAAGTAGTAATTTAAGATAAGTTATTTATCCATGTTGATGTAAACATTTAAGAAAACAGAAAACCAAATTTCCAGAATTGATCTAATACTCTCTGCTATAATTTCACTCTTTCATATGTCTAATGAGCAATCCTACAGTAAAATACAAGGTGACTGAAGATGACAACTGCGCTCTATTTGCATAGCACAGCACATCACACATTCCCTTGTAAAAACTACATGTACTTCTATCATGAGACAGGTAGCTTCAATATTAAAAAAGCAGATGGTCTTGAGTAAAACTGAAATGTCATAAGAAACCATAATTCACAGAAAATACTGTTTTAACACTCAACTTTGCTGAGAAGGTAGCACTTCCATTCTGCAGCAGCTGACTTTTTTCAGAACTGCATTTTTCAATGTGATGCACTCCACAGAAGCAGTCCAACTTACAGTTAGCACAGTTGCATACTGGTCAAAGATGGATCATTATACAAGAGTGCTAGACACATTTTCCTATGTAGTCATCAATGGAAGTGGGTATTTTTTTCTGCTTAGTGCTGTGAAAGATTCTACTGCCAATATCAGTGAGCAAACAACAAGTAAGAACTAAATTAGGATCAAGACTTAATGGATTCTGTACTGAAGGATTTATCAGACAAAATCAAAATCACTAATTGCCAAGCTCTGACTATGAGCCAAGCAAGGGACTAGCTAGATATTCTCAGTTCTGCCAGCAGCAATGATGAATTTTTCCTTTTTGCTCGATTTCTTCAGTCACTGAAGGACTAGAGTATGTAGAATCTGCTGTAGGATGCACTTCTGGCCTAAGTTGTTTTCTTTCAGAACCACTTTCCGTCAAGCAGTTGAAGACTGACCTGCTAAAAATTCAAACCAACTGAAACAAATGGCAAAGGTTATGGAATGATACTTCTGTACTAGAGAAAGGGAAAAGTTCTGAACTTCAGGGAAACAACAAAACCCTTCAGCCTGTTCTGATCAAATAGTCTGACAACAGTTTACAACAGTATGTTTTCTTAACTGAATTTTGCCCTAAACTTGAAGATTGATGTATTTTCTTTCTGTTCTCATCAGAGTAAAGTATAACTTTATGTGTAGTTTCTGCTCATTTCTCTTTAATTCTACATACACCACAGAATAAACAGCATGACCTCTCTCAGTAGTATCTGCTAAAATAATTTCAAAATTGTTGAAACCAATAAACAATATTATAACTTCTGCCATGTGCTATCCATTTGCATGCTCCAGAAATAAGTCTTTAGCCTGTAAAGAAAAATGTTAGGAAAGGATCTGGTTCAGTTGTATTAGCAAAAATACAGACAAAATCATTATTAGTTCTTAAAAGTCAAGAAACAGCATCAATTCATAATGATGGTGTGCCACAAGAACATCAGCTTTGTTATGGAAAACTGATTAAAGACTGAAAGCCATTTTACACGTACCTGAGAGTAACGTCTCCAAAGCGAAGCTCACCTGATTTCCACAGCAATACACAATGATGATTTTTTGTTAACTATTAGTTTTCATTTGTCAACAATTCTAAGCCAGAATTCAAAGTGCTTAGCAACATTTTGAAAAGAAAGTACATATGCTATGTAATAATACATGTACACAGAAAATGCGTATTAAATACCTTCCATTTAAAACTGCTGCATTCAGGGAGCTCAGTTTTCTTCTATTAAACATATTCAGGGCATAGCACAAGTTCAGCTATTTATCTCTTTAATAAAGAGCTTTTAGACATACCACAGGCAAAGTTGAGAAACATCCAGTAAACCAGAACATTAGAATGGCAAACAAAACCATCTATTAGAATCATGCTCTCTTTTAACAGAATGAACTACCACCACACCATAACTAGTTGATTTACCAACCTAGATGCAAACCACAATGTAATCATTCAGCAGAGCAACAAATAATAGCAGAGAAGGAAATTCAGGACTTTATTTCCTTCCCTCAGAAAGATCAGGAGAAAAAATTCAATTCACCATAAAAACAGCAATTATTTTCAGATTTACACATCTTGTCTGGTTACAACATTGTTAATGCAAGGCATTTGCTTTGAAACCTGGGAGGACAAAAGAAAGTTTTCATCAGCAAACCTGATGCTCTGCAGAAGTGATATACCAGCATTTATGAAGAATCTGTACCACTTTTAATAGTGTGGACTGCTATTCCTTTATCTTTTTTATAGCAAGCTTAACACATTTATTAAAGGAATAGAAGGGTATAACTTCTGGTCTTTGCTGCTTCTTTTAATGATGTTTCTCTATGAGACAGTAAAATTATGAATGGAATGAAATACCCTGAAAGGGATCAGTGTTGACTAAAAGACATAACACCAAAATGAATTTTCTAGGTTGCCCCTTCAGAGAACTCTGTAGTACCTGTTCTCACACTGAGCATTAAAGGTTTTTTCATACATTGCTACCTTGAGTATTACAGAGCCACCCAACAACGTTTATTCTCACGTAGTAATGAAAATTTGACATAATTGAGAAACTAGGATCCAAAAAAAAATAATGATTCCTGCTCTCCAGGAACATGAACTCCTGAAGGCCAGCAAGACCTGAGGTCTTAATGGAACTGACTATGAGAAGAAAAGCAGGTGGAAAATCTAGAAGACAGGACACATTCCAGAATATGAGCACAGTACCTCTTCCAGGTGAAGATGGTTCTGAGCACTATCAACATGTCAACAAAGACCACACTTAAAATGTCAAACAAAAACCATACTATATGGTCCACCAAGAACACCGAGTTTATAGTGAAATTTATTGTTCTGCTTCCTAATACAATAAGCTACAAGGTACATACAGTATAAAACGAGAACGGCCACAGAGCAAAGGTGATAAACATTCTGTGATGGTACAGTGGAGGTAACGTCTGTCTAACCCTTCCACTTTATCCCACAAAGAGCAGCTAAAACTACTGACCCTTCCCCCCCACCCCTCAAAAAATATTAAAAAGTAAACTGTCTCTCTCACGTAGGAGCAGTGGGATTCAATGAGTTTTTGAGGGCACTGGTTATCTGCCAGTATCTCAAGAAAATTGTTGAAACTAAAGTAACAAAGAAAAACTGTGAAGGTGGGAGTGACATGACCCATGCAAGATGCTCATGACACCCTGGTTCACTTCTCCTCAGAGCAAATGGCCTGTAAAGAAAGGAAAAGTTTGTTACATCAAATAAACCAGCAACTAACATCGTCAGAATTAAGATATTGTATGCAAAATCTGAACTAGACAGGACTAGGAATACAGATAAACTATTCTTTTAATGAAACCATAACCCTCTTCTTAATAAGGTTGGGGAGACTGATAGCTGACTATCCTTCGCCCTTTATTGTTAGATGCTGTGCACAAGGGTATACATTAACATAGGCCCAGCTGACACCTGTTACACAAGGTTCCAAAACACATAGTCTTATCTGGGAGAACTCTAACAATGATGTGAACTGCAACCTCAACCCTTAAAAAACATCAAGCTTATAAATACACAGAAAGACTGAATACTTACCTTCAAGGCACAAAAATCCACTTAACCACTTTTTCATATATACTTGGTACGGTTGAGGGCTCTCTCAGCAAGGTGACCACTTTCATCTGTTATCTTCTCCCAGTCTGTTTGTCCAACAACAAAACCGATGGCCCTTTTCCTGTCGGCATCTTTTTTTTCTTCTAGATCTGCCCACCGCACCTATGGAGAATACCTCATCAGTATAATCTCTTAAGAAATCCTGATACAAGTCTAGGCTGCAACTAAGAGTACAAGAATACTTATTTGTACTCATTTTCCTTCACAGGTAAGTACTAATTTGTTTTCTGATAGGTAAAGATGGAATGCTTTCTGCAGGAAGAATTATCCAAGATTCATTTAGTGTCTTTATTTTTTGTGCAACCTGTATTTCAATTGCAAAATGGAAATATCTAGAAGATAACTATGAAACTACAAAAAGACAGTGTTAAAAAGCAACTCAGCAACGAATAAACTAATGAGGGACAGTTTTCTTCTCTATCTATCTTCTGTGATATATTTCCATTTAAATATTTTCAGTATTTTTTACACTAAATAAACTTCTTCATACATTTGTTATCTCTCATCTTTACAGCCTTATAGTTCCATATCTCCCCTGTAGCTCTTCATGGTAATGCAGATCCCTTGCATTTATCCTCCTCAAACATACACAATGACACCCACAAACCCAGACACTGCTGGGAGTGAGAGCAACAGTGAGAAAGGAGCGAGAGAGGTGACACAGAAAGACTGCAGTCACTAAAAACTCAGCTGTAACACACCATTGCAGGACAAGAAAAAACAGTATGGGAAAGAGCTCTTCCCTGACATACTCATTAGTCCCATTCAGGCCAGTGTGTTACTCAGGGACATAGCCTTATCAACTTTCTGCCAGCACCTCCCTACCCACAGTCTACCTGGACTTCCCCAGACGTTCCTACAATGTCAGCTTTCTTCCACCATCACCTCCTCTGCCAATGCCTTAGGTATCTCCATTTCTCTCAGGCATGATGTCCAATACTATTTGACATTACAGAGCAAAACAATGTCCAAACACTGACACTTAACTCAAATTACTTTTAGTGGCAAAAGCCAGTCTTTCTATTTTGAAGGGAAAAAAAATAAAGAGTACTACCTCTATTACCTCTCTTTCATCTTCTTCTATTTTTCCCTTTTTTTCACAATAGCGTGTTAACATATGGCATTTTGTTTTCAGAACAGAACTACATATAGAGTTATACACATTATCTCCCAATGTCTACAAGATATAATTGATGTAAAACCTACATAACTGATAGTTTCCTAAGACGAATCTTTTTGAATACCAGAACAGCGTACTGTTTCTCTATCTACTTACAACAAAACTTAACAAAAAATAGCTTGATAAAATCATCATCTTCTCTTGGAATCTCTACGGTATATCACACTATCTCACCACAAAACAACACAGCATAAAAGGACTCTATGGGTTGCTCTGAAATAAAGTGCATCAACTCCCCAGCAAGAAATGGGACATGATTCCATTTTCAATCTCTAAGCCATGCCCAGGCATAGTTAATCTGTAATTCCTAGCTTTGTTATAATTAATATGTTTACATCTGGAAGACCCTACTTGCAAGAATGATCTCTTACAGAATCTAATGGAACAGCAAAATGAAAAATGAGTCAGTGAAATTCCCATATTCATAGACACTGAATGACTTGATACAAACTCTCTTTCACAGAGACTATTAAATCATCATATACAGATAATAAGTCATTTGAAAATTTATTACCCTTTTCTTTCCAGGTTCAGAAGCACGTGTATCATAGTCATCTGGAAGTTGCAAATAATCTTCCATTCTGCTGGCAATTGCTTCCCAGTCACGTTTCCTTTTAGTGCCAGTCCGCAAACCATCCAGCTTGTCTGAGAACAAACACAGAGCCTCAGCGTTAAAGGAGAATTTTTTTCTATTTTTCACACAAACAAGATGAGAGTGGGAAATTTTTCAAAAGAAAGAGCGGCAGAACTTGTATATCCAGTTTGTCTTGACAGGTGGAATGATGAGACTTGAAATAAACTAGAGAAGACTCAGCACAGTTTTCAAGTTTTATTGATCTTTCACGTTAACTGTGTGGCAATAACACTCAGTCTTGTTATGTGTACGAGGGAGAAAAAGCTTGCTCTTCCAGATGGTCATATTATATGGAATCTATGCTTGCAGGTACAATATAGCCAACAACAGCTAGGAACCACAGATCCACCTTTCTGTATTTGAACACAATACTAAAGTTGTAGCATTTTTCCAAATTTGGGGATTAATACCGTGTCAAACATGGCACACATGCAGAATCAGGGAACAAGTGACGATCATATAATTTAATGCATCAAAGATGAGTTTTTGAGATACTGTTTCTGCTAAACAAAAAGCTCCTTGGAAACCCTGATCCCCCCTTTTCTTTTTCTCTCCCCATAAGGCAAATTACTTTAAAAATCCTCCAGAAGTGGTGGGGGGGGGAAATCTCAGATTTTTTTTCTTTCATGGTGTAAGAGGTCAGTCATGAATATCTGAGTAGTGCATTTGTCCAACAGTCATAATTTTCTTCTTTTTCTTATTAAACAAATATGGCATGAGGAGAAACCATTCCTATGTTCTAAAATTTTGTTCCTCTTTGGACATTCATTCTCAGTAAAAAAACCCACCTTCTTGAAATCATGTGGCAAACTGTTTTTGGACAGGAAATGAAGCATTCATTGGAAGATTACAAACAACAAAGCATGAAAAGGAAAAACAGCTCTACAAGTCAAAGTAAATTCTATTACTTCTGTCAATGTATGCTACCATATTATAAGTCAACAATTTAAGTATGTGTAGAAGGAACACCAAGCTTGGCAATTATATTCTGTAAACCATTTCCAGTGATGTCAGAAATAATGTTTCAGAAGTCACCATTGTAATTAAATTCACCCACAAAAGGCCATAGAAATAAACCAAATACAAGGCAGCAATATTTTCTGAGTAGCAGAAGACGATGATCAAAGGCATATATTTAAAGAAGCTTAGTTCAGAGATGCGTTTTTTGATTTAATATGGGAGAGAAAAGAGTAACAATGGAGATAATGTGATTGTATGTAGTACAATGGCACTGTACACATGCTAGTATAATTTAAATGCCATAAACTAAGGAAGTTATTTCTCCCTCATGCAGCTCTAAGATTTTTAAAGACTCCACCTTTGCCCCATTCCCTGGAACAGATACAGAATTTCTTCTAATAAAACATTTTAACCCCCCTTTACTTTTTTAAAAAGCCAACATTTAAGAAAAATGTTCAGAATATTTATATTTGTTACATGGTTCAGTTAAGGTTCTTCTTTTGCTCTAAGTTAAATCTGCCAAATTTGATGCTCAATCTCCACAGAAAGGCGACACTCTCTAGAAGACAAAATTGATTTATACAATGTTCGTGTGTTACTCCAGCACGTACTGTACTTGCACTGTTTCTCAGTATTTCAATCAACGCAGATCATTTCTAGTATCAAAGGTTTCCAGAAAAAAATTAACATGGAAAAGGAGATCAACAGATGCATTGAGGAGCATTTAGGAACATGAAAAACTGAAAACTGAGGAGCTCTCTGTTGGCAGGTACCTGTAGACACCCATATTCCTGTTGGAAGGCAACACGCTATGATGCAAGCTCACCTCATTACCAATATGAAAGAAACTCCAGTCTCTCTCTCCCTGCTGCACACAGAACTGAAAACATCACCAAGAAATGTATAATGCTCAAACATCAACAGAGGAGTTCAGAAGGCATTCTGAGTATGCAGTTCCCCTGTCCCGTTTTGTTATTGCTACACAGAATTTATTTTAAATCGTTCTCTCTCTCCATGTCTGAAGTTGGATTGCTTTTCCGGAGGAGTATGCTTCCATCCATACCATCACGGTTCAAGGTACATGGACCATGCAGTAGACACTACGTAAACGTCAAAAGCCTATCACAAAGGATTATTTCAGAATATTCTTTTCTGAAAATGAGACAAGGTGTCACTTTAACACTGGTGCTTGTGAATATTCATGGCAGATTACTATTTAGTGTTAAACTACTGAACATCATTGTACCATTTCAATTTTTAAAAACAAATTAGCAGCATTTCTGAAAACCCATAGAACTCAAAAACTCACCTTTAGAATTTTAATAATAAAGCATCTGAAAGCAAATTACTTAATTAGCTCCTTCAAAAACTAAATGAAACAATCCGCTACATTTTGCTCTTCTTAGACAAAAGCCACAAAGTTTTATGTAAAATGTTATTTGCATTCTAGACCAAATTTTACAATGGTATCCAAGCTTCAGTTATGGCGTAGCTTGTTTCTCCCTTCCTAAAAGTCTGCAGAAATCACAACTATGACGCACTTGAAACGGGGCATTGCACTAAACACTTAGCATATAGTCAAAGTTCAGAAGTGAGAGTCTATTACTTTAAATCTCAAAAGAAGAACCCATGTGCAATATGCACCGAGACAGACCAGTGGTTAGACTTCAGAATAAAATTGTGACTGTGCACAACACGTAAGACAATGATACACCACACGCATACTCAAGAGGAATGCATCACTCCTGCCAAAATGAATCTGAGCTAAAGTGAGAGCTGTGGGGCATACGGCGATTGTAACAAGTCGGTGTTTGCAGCTAAATAACTCAAACTTTTCAGACCTTTTCTGACAGGTACTACAACCATTAAGATCTTATTGAGCCTTCCTGTAACAATATCTACTCATAAAGAAAACAAAAAAGCAAAACAAGACTCTGAGTGTTGTTTTTGGAGTCTACACTTACATCAACTTCTGTAAATGTGTGCCCTCTGGGACTAATGCAATAAACCTAATGGGCAGGCCAGTTCCCAGGAAATAACTCAAATATGGAATAACTTATACATAGCACAGCTTACATGCCTCTCCAGAAATAAATATAACTGGTCACCTACAAACTCTTATTGTGAACTAATTAGTAAATAGAATAATTCTTACTCACAGACTGCAAATGTTTATAATGCATACCTTAAGCTAAAAGTTACCTGCCTTGACAGAGCAATTTTCCAATGAACTGCATTCATTACATGGGAATGCCTGCTTTTTTAAAGATGTATCTTTTGTCAGAATTTTCTTTTAATCTATAGTCCTATATATACATATAAAAATGAATCTACAGGATAGTTATAAAATTGTGAATACAGATTTAATAGAAAGCCATTCTTAGCACCTGTGTCTGTGTTTTGCAGCATGCTAACATCGCTTGTTAATAAAGTGTGACTGTTAAAGGACTACTGCAATAGCCTTGCAAATAACTTACTTCAGCATAAAAGTGACTCTGCTGCCTGCTACCCATTTTACATTTAAGTGGTGACTATATAAAAATCCTGTGTTCTATCTCATGGAGTTTTCACTGCATAAGAAAACACAACACAGTTCTTTGTTTCTATTTGCTAGCAGTATTTTGAAAGCTGTCTGTAAATTTCTGCTGCAGTCACAATCCCCACATTGTTAGAAATTACACTTAACATTATGTATCAGAGCATTCTTCAACAACGCAGGTTTCCAGAATTATGATTTCATGCATAATTGAGGAAAACTCATTATAAACTTAAGAAACAATTTTATATTATTAAAAAATATTATTGCTTATAAGAAAAATTCAGATCAATCCTGAATTAATTCTGCCTAGCTACTATTTGACATGCCAAAACAATCAAGTACAAGGCACCTTTGGTTATACTGCAGGTGCCACAACATCAATATATTCCACAAATATTTATATGACTTAAAAGAGAGCATAGCAGCAGAAGAGATGGTGTAGCTAAGCATTTAACAGCAAAAGATGACAGGTTGTTTTATGTAAGCCAGACCTTGTAATGCTATTTTTAAGGTGCAATTGTGATTTTGGTTATTGAAAAGTAATGACGCACAGGGCTGTACCACACATGCAGGAGTAAACCTCAGAATGTTAAGACATGCTGCGTCCTGTTCAGGTATTTGTTACTTCTCATAGACATGACAGAAAAGAGCAGTTTTGTGCAGACTGTCTTATGAAATCTTCCCTTAGAATCATTATTATTCAGTTAAAAAATCCCAAACCGACAAAACTGATCATAATGACCAGAAACCCGTTCCTCCTTTCACCATAGCCATGGTGAATGCATTTCTGCCTGAAAGTTGCTTTTGACTTTGACAGAAGCCTAATGTCAGCACTTATGTTGAATGCAATCATCAGCACTACCCAGAACAAAAAGCGCAGCAAAACCAGGGTTCATGTGCTTCTGGAAAGTCCATTTTGCACACTACTAAAAAGAATTCTAGTAGTCTCCTGGAATTGAAAAGCATTATTAACTTTTCAATACCTAAGTTGTTGGAAAGATACATTGACGCCTAATCATTCAGAAGAAACTTCAAAGCATGACACTACTTTGTCTTTACAGACGTCAATTTTGGAAAGTGAGAAACATCTCCAATACAGGTAGGTATGAAGCATGTCTCCAAGAATGTAAGAAGTTACTGATGACACTTATGTTTTAAAAAGGTATGCAGTATGAACAAGAACACAGTGCAATGTAAGTTGACTCTTTGCTTATATAAAAACTATAAATATGGAAGAGATGAGTAAAGAATAAAATATTGCTTTCTAAAAATTTTAAGACAAAGTACTTTCCTTGAACAGATGGAAGAACAATTAATGAATATATAAACCAGTGATGGTTAGAAAGTAGTAACTCTCTTGCCTTCTGGCAAAAGACAAATTCTGTTTCTGTATACATGTTTTTGCTGTTTCAGACACATGTATGAAATCAACACATTTATTTGTCTTTGGTAAGGAGGCACAGTAAAAAACAAAAAATCAGGTTTTGCAAACATCATTAGATACCAACTACAAGAAACAGGAAAAAATAAATACCCACCTAGCTTTGCCTCAGAAGTGTCCATCTCCCATTTGCTTTTCGGAATGTAACCCTAAATCATACACAGAAAGAAGCTCGGAGGATTAGAGAGAGACACACATGCATATCACTTTTGAACTGGAAACAGAATTATAATATAGGTAGATTAAGGTATTTCTCTTTGTAAGGCACAATTCTTGTTATCTTCATCCTCAGATGAAGGAGACCAATTACTCAGTATTTCAGAACTTCTGCATCCACTTCCATTCAGTGATTTTAGAAGCCCTTATAAATCATAACAAGAGTGCTGCCCTTTGCAAACACAGAACTCCAGAATGAGTCTAACAGGCAGCGAAGGTGCTGTGTGCAGTTACTGTATTGTATCACCCCAGGTAGCAAACTTACTGTAACACAACTTATCAGATATAAAGAATATTCAAAGCTTTACAAGCACAAATGAAAAAATTACTGCAAGATTTTACGAATATATTCCCAGATTTACTACACACAAACCTCACTCCTTTTGAAGGGACGAACTAAATTCATGTATGAATGGTTAATTCACAATTAAACAAAAATTTCTTTTGTTTAAAAGAGAGTATCTGCTGGGTCACTAGATTTAAGTATTATTTTTCACTTTAAAATAATACTTTTAGCTCAATAATACTTTTAAAACACTTTTCCCCTACAAATAATGTCAGCACGTGTAATGATTTTTAGTCAGTTTATTCTTTGTAAATCCGCACAATGATATTAAGTTTAGCAAAAAGGTATTTATTTTAGTTACCTTGTTATCATCTCTTTTTAATACTCTTTGACAAGTAAATCCTTACTAAGCAATCCTCATTTCAGCTGTTCAGATTTGTTTTAAAAGTACTTATGGTTCCTCTGTAATAACGCAAAAAGCTCAATGTAGTGAGTGGAAGGCCTGTGAGAATTCCATTACTTTTATAATGTTTTTTAATAGAGAGGGAAAAGAACTACTCTAGAAGATTTCAAGAAGAACAAACAGTCCACAAACAAGTTTTATGTCACTGACTTCTTTCCTGTTCTATTTATAGGTCACCTCCACTGTCGTAAACATACACATATTTGTTAATGCTATGTGTTACTGAATCAGTGTACTCCAGATTAAATTCCAGTATATTCCAGAGAGCTACACTGCATTTGATTATGCTCAGCATTGCTCTTCCAAAATCCTTGAATGACCTTTTTTTCTATCAAGCATATATCAGTGACTTTAGGTTCTCAGATCTCAGTATTTTCTTGTTTTTGATTAAATCTGTAACTAATGCAAACCAAAACAGTTTATGCTGCAATATTTCCTTGTAACTATAAATAAGCTTTATGTATATATGTATATTTATACTTTAAAACCAAGTTGCACATTAAAGTTTGCTCAGAAAGTTTACACCACAGCTAGAAGCCTGCATTAAACGAAGTGATGTGTGATACACTGGTGAGAACACTAAGTTAAATACATCAATAATTCATACCATCAAGCACAGAAAAGCAGGAATTGTCTGAATGCCACAACCCTATGGGAGTTGATAATAGCAAGAAGAGTGACTTTGATGGTGTGAAATGGCCTACTGTGTGCTGAATCTGTACAATATCCCAGTCCTCAGATAGGATAAGCAAAGATTCAGACTTTATCCTTTGGTACAAGACAGTTGGATATTTCAAGGATATCTGCCAGATGGCAGGAGCTTCAAGACTTCTCTTTTTCCGCAGGATTAAATGCAGCAAAATGAATTGCAGAACGCTTACCAACTGCTCTCAAGAAGGCAAGTGATACCAAATACAGTGTAGTGTTCCACCTGTCTGATATAATTCTCTCAGATGAGCTATCTGACTGAATACCAGAGATTACATACAGCAGATAATTCTCTGTTATTCTTCTTGTCTGAATAGAACACATTCTTATATGTAGATTACTTTTAGTTATTTAATAATTTGCATAGTTTCCACACCAAACTTTCTTTGTCTCATAAAAAAAAGGCCTATTGTTATATGTGCTGTATCTTAGGACACTCCCCCGAACCCATAAACACACATATACACACACACATTTATGCACAGATGTTTCAAAAGCTAAAGACAACTCTCTCTTTTAGCTATAGCTCATTTACAAGAAATGAGACAAGCAGCCATATTCTTGTTAACATGGATGTATCTTTGAAATGTTCTAACCACACTCTATGAAGTCTCATATTCTGCGCCAAAGAATAATTTAGTAAAGAGAATGAGTCATATTGCAAAAAACAGACATTTATTAAAATCCTCTTTTCCTAAGCTTTTTAAAATTCTATATTTCAACTGCTTTCTAAGCTGCCACTCCTGAGAAATAGTAAATTTCTATCGCTTGTCCCAGACACTTTTGGTTACTTCCTGTTTATTGGACTTTAACTGCTTGGTTGTGGGAACCAGGGTTTGAGACATTCAACTCATCAAGCACTGACCAGTTGCAGCTCCAACACATACCAAGAAGTTACAGCAGGAAGCCTTCCATAGCCTTTTAAATACATACCTAAAAAAACCAGCCCTGAGGGCAATTCTATAACCTTCATTTATCCAAAAGACCTAATCCCTCATCTTGGAAATACCTCCTGACAAACAAAGCCAGTAAACTGTGGCGGAGAAAGCCGCCTTCATACGTGTTGTCAAATACTGTGACAGTTGAGGAGAGTTCTTTAGACATGTGAAAGGAAACAAGCTAAATTAATCTTTGTCTATTGTTCCCATCCCTCCACTCAGTGTAATTCTTAGATTATCTGGAAGACAGCACTATAGTGTACTGCAATTTAAAGTCTGTAAGAGGCATTTTGCCATGCTCCACTGATAATGCTGTTTGTGGAATATACTCACATATTCTTACAAATAAATTAGGAAGAAATAACATGATTGATCATTAAAGTTCTCCTAGAAATGTTTAAGGAAAAAACGACTAGAAACATATGTATTAAGACTGCACTGCTAAGAATGGCAATGAGTTGGCGCTTGTAAGATTGAGATTCTTCCTCAGACACATTAATGAAAAATTTGTTAGAGATGGCTGATGTGTCTCCTACCAGTTCACTTTCTTCCTCCTCTGCTGTGTCCTTCTTGACTTCTTCTTTCTGGTCTTCAATATTTGCATCAAAATCCTCCATCTCCACCTGTTCCAAACCACAAGTATAGACTTACAAAGCTCTAACAGGGACTCATGTGCATAGTGCGGAATATATAAAACTATTCAAGTATGTACTGTTCCTTACATCATTTGTAAAACCTTGTAAACCCAAATCTGCCTTCTGTGAGGCTTTTGCTGTCCTCTTAAAGGTTATTATTTTCGAATACAAAGAATTTGGAGGTTCAAAAATAACCTGCTGGCCTCATGACAAACTGTGAAGACTCTGCCTACTTCAGCAGTTCACCAGTTTCTGTGGTCATGGCAAGAGCTGTTCTAACAGCAACAAGCAGCTAGGGTACCTCCAGGAAGACCATATGATTAACATATACCATTCCCAGAGCTTCTGACACAACTGCCAAAGAATGCAGCAATACAGAAAGCTGACACACCGAAGACGTATGTCATGGAAAACTGCAAATGGAATAAAAAAGCAGCATACTTCTACAGCAAGTGTAACCTTCTGCTACATGTTGTTAATTTTTTAATTTCTCTGCTACGTGTCGGTATTTATGAAAACAAAGACTGAGTTCATATTTCTTTCCTTATTTTATCCAACTAATTTCTGAAAATATGATCAGAAAAATCCAATAGCCTGCAAAAAGTGCTGAGTTTCATCTAAGAAAGCAAAGATTCTCTTTAACTGGTATTCAAGAGTTGCTAAGAGCAAAGTGGCTTCAACTCTTGCTCAAAAAGGCGTAAGTCTGAGCTTCAAAAAGGTGATCAAAACTAACAACATACCTTCATGTTTGGGTAACTGCTAAGTATAATGGAATACATGTACCTAACACAGTGATTCTGACTTTCTACAGTGCCAACTGTAACTACCTTGTGATCATATCTTTGTCTGCTTTATATTTTCAGTATAGTCAGATTGACATAATTTGTAGTTTTAACAAGCACAGAAGTTCTCACCTCTTCGATAGCAGCATCCTGCAATAGAGAACGAATGTCCAGGCGCATCATGTGACGGGGTGCTGCCTCCCAGTGCTCAGACATCTAACAAAACATAAACAAAAATGAAGCACTTCTACAAATCTAACAGATTCATTTGGTTTCTGATCACTAACAAGATGTATCTGTACTTAAGAAACGCAATTTCAATCAATCCTATGAAATAACTATCTGTTCTTCTTATAAAATATGTAAAAATTATATAGTCTTCAGTTTTCAAACAACAGCAGGCCCAAAAACACAATCAACTTATAATTAATCCTATGGCTGCAAATATATACAGTTACCCTGCTGATATCCTTTAGCTTGCGTCCATGAATATTCCTCTTGGAACATGTCTGGTTATCTGCACTCATTTCAGCTAGATACACCTAGAAAAAGAAAGACAATATTAATTACTGTAAATCAATTTTTAGAGCTCTTTTTCTACCTGGTGATACACTCTGCAGTTGTACATTCTAAGAAAGGTAAACTTGTAACTGCATACCACAGCTTTTTTCCTGATTGTGGGAGACACTTTGCATTCAAATGTTTAGAAATATCAGCCTATGGCTACTAGCAAGTTCAAATTCTATTTAGGCTCCATTACCTCAAACCCCTTGGTTTTTGCAGCACTCCAAAACTGTTCAAAATGTCGCACTCTATCATTGATAGCATCAAGTATAATGAAGGGAAAGAATCCATCATCCAAGGTCTTTTTGAAAGTTTTAAACATGCTGGTACGATAGGTCTCTTCCATATCAGCTTCATATTCATACTCCATGACCTTTATCAAGAATAAAAGCATTTAAGAAAGAGGACATCTGTAAAAATGCTAATGTTCAACAGCTGAATGTCATGACCACAAAGCACACTGGTATGTGAAAAGCACATTTCAGGTCAGCTTTTAAGAATTTGCCCATACAACCTTAAGTTATATTAACCTGGTTTGAAAAACCGCCCATAGACATCTGCAGTCTTTCCAAGTCACAGACAGAAATTCAGACTGCTGCTGTGTTTTTCCAGAATGTTGTTTCTTTGTCAAGACTAGCAACTGAATTAAGAGTACCTTCTTTTTAACTTTTTTCCCTGTATCTGGGTCTCTCTCTTCTTTCTCCACTTCAGTGATAAAATAGTCATCCAGGCTGAGCACTCTTGGTGCAGGTCCTCCACACTCTACTTCTTTATCCTGGCAAGAAAGAAAAAAGAAAACATATACTCTTGCTCTAAAACTTCCATTCTGCTACACAGGATCTTCATAACACTTTTGGCCAACAGCAGTTCCCTGCTCTGTATTCAAAACAAGAAGAGAGCGGCATCCCTCCTGCTTGGTGCTAGTGGAGGGGAGTCACACACCACACGAAGACATGGAACATGAAATAACAACAGACTTGAATTTCAGGCAAACAGAAAACAAACAGCAGAGGAAGCACATGTAAAAGAGAAGCAGGACTACACAGTGAGCAGTTGTTTACATACCCTGATGAGTTTTGCTACATGTGTCTTTCCGCTGCCAGGCAACCCTCTCATTATGATCACAATCTGAAACAAAGATCACGTAATAGGATACTGTACTATATTTAACAGAATCTCTTGCAAAAATTTTCTTCAAGAAAATTACGTGCTGTGGGCTCACACTTTTGCATATAATCAAGCAAAGCCACTACCACACCTCACTGTCTGTTTTACAAAACAGGTGGTGAGGAATGGTAGTAGTTTCACATAATTCAGAGTTTTTGATGTTAATTATCTCAGCAGCTTAGGTTGTGTAAGATGTTATAGACCTGGTTCAGTTTGATAGCCGGAACTGTGTTCTTTCTTATATTATATGATGTACTGCCAAATCGCTGACTGTGTAAAGCCAAGTCTTTCCTCTGATACATCAAAAACCCAAGTGAAGATCTCATAAGAGTCCAAAATACCTTAACATTACAGACCAATTTCCTTTTAGCAGTCCAAGGAAGTTCACATCTCCTGTAGACTCCTCATAGTTACGCTACAACACTAAGCATTTACAAAGGAACCAAGCTAATTTCTGGAACTTGCTCAAATGTACACCTGTTTGCAACATATTACACCCATGACCATTCTAGTTGAATACAGACCTTGTAGAAACTGATTATTGCTTTCAGAATGCATACTCACTCTCTCTGGTCTGCTATCCCGTCCTGGTGGCTTTAAAATATCATCTACATTTTTAGATTCTGGCTTCCTTTCCATTCGTGGAGCAGGTGGTGGCTGACGGGGTATTGATGGAGTAGAAATAGGAATCCTTTCCTCAGGGTAATTTCTACGATCACCTTCAAATTCCAGTGTTTGGACAGAAGAATTTTCTTAGTTCAGTAAAATAAAAAAATTAAGATGATCATACACAGTTGAGCTGATTTAAACAGACCTTCATTATTTTAAGTTAAATTTACAGATAAGTCCTCAAAACAATTCAAATTTCTGATCTTGAACATATTGCAATCAAAGACAGCTTTTAGCAGAGTATATCACTGTTTCATTCATGATCTTATCACTCCTGAGAAACAAAACTGCTACCACCTAAATAAACTTTCCTGAACTATATATTCTGAACAAATAAATACCGCAATTCAATTAATCTACCAATTAATCTTCACCTCTGCAAATCCATATTTTTCATAATATCCTAGCATGACTTCAAGATTGAGAAACTGTACCTCCAAACATGGAAGGCCCATGATCATACGCTGGGCGATCTGTCTTTCGTTCATATGGTGGTCTTTCAAAACCACCTCGCCTGGAGGACGGATGGTCCTTCTTGTCACGGTAAGACTGAGTTCTTGTAGGTGTAGTAGGAAGAACCCTGTCAAAAGAGTATTTCGTGTACTTCTAGAATTTCCACTATGGATTCCAGAGTGAAATGAACATGCACCTCCCAGGCAAAACAGACAGCCTGATACACAATACAGCCTCAACTGCATTGATTCCAATAGTGTTCCAAAATCACATACCTATCATCTCTGGGATGCCGCTCTTTTTCAAATCTCTCTCGTTCATAGTCCGTAGAACCACGGTCTCTGTGAAATTCCCGCTCTCTCTTGAAATCCCGATGATCTGTGTTGGAATTACCTTGACGCTCAAAATAAGGCTCACGATCTCTTTCTCTGTTGTAGCGACCTGGATGCTCTGAAGAGAGAAACCCATGGAAATCCAAACTACTATTTTTGAAAAAAAATTAAAGCAACAACCAAGAATGCAGGAAAAGTATACAGAAATACATGATATGTGGGCTAGGATGGACATAATCAAACACTGTATCTCTTTTCCAAACTGTAATAGACAACCATAACATGCAATCCTACTTAAAGCTACAAAACTGAATGTTTAAAGTGGCTAGGTTGTTGACTGCAGTACTCCTCTTGACAATATAACCTGTTATTCCTATGGGTCTCTGAAGAAAATAATGTGGTTCTGGCTTAAACAAGAGTTACTTAGTTTAATATATGCCTTTAGTGCCTTACAGTTTTTCTTAAGAGCTATCTAACTGAGAGCTAGCCAAGCACTCCCTACCTTTTTGAAATGTTTGCCTCTCCGGTAGAGGTTCTGGACGAAGAGTTACCCTCTCCCCATACGGAATCTGTTCCACTTTACTGGTAGTTATATCTGGTTGAAAATAATCATAAAATAATTAAACACCTCTCTTCCATTTCCTTTCCTCTGTCATGAGAAGCAATCAATCAATGGCATTAAAAGTGACTGGAACAACTTACAAAAATTTCTATTAATGGATAATGCAAGAAGAGCTACACCTAAATAAACAACACCATGGCTTTGAAAGACTGAAGTGGGTTTGTGTGTGTATGTTAACCATTTCATCTCTAAGAATGGGACTTCTGCCTTTTAAGGTGTGTTCAAGTAGCATGCAGTGTCAGAAAACTGTGAACACTAAAATGCTCTGAGAGTTTCAATAACTCATAGAACTACTGTAATATCAAGAATAGAAACTTAACGTCTCACATCGGTAACAATTTTTCTAATAGCCTTTAGTAAAACATCTACTTAATGGAACTGAGATGGGCTTCAACTCATGCCATGGCACCTCAGAGAGAGAAAAAACACACTTTAAATGACAATGTACAATTTAAGAACTTCTTTGTGACATGATTTCATTGCTGTTAAAAACTTACAATGAGGGAGATTAATTCTATTTAAAAACTAGTGTTGAATTTTAGTTTTGATAAGCTCAATACTAAGAATCAGAGCCCTTCGTTGTTTACGTGTTAAATGCCTTCTTAGGAGACTTTGTGTCCCTCCCTGTCCAGAGGGTACCTCACACCCATTAACCAGTAGATAAATAATGCAAAGACCAGTCACATTCTGCTTTAAGTTACTAAGTCACACCAAAGAACTGTAACCATGCAAAGTATCTTCTAGCACAGTTATTTCCATACTCATCCACAAAGGGGTTAAGGGAAAGTGTCAATATCAATCTAAATATAACATATTGATGTGATCACATCAGTTGCTGTTCATTAGAAGCAGCCATGGCTATACACCATTCAGTTCACATGAAAACAGCTCTTCCTAGGAGGATTGAGAAAAGCATTAAGCTCAGGGTTGGAGGTTACAGATTCCTTAAAACTGCACTGCTTAGCATCACATCACAATGGACGCAGTCTACACTGCAACTGCAGAACAAGCACACTTTGCATGGCACATTCCTTTAAAAAGAAGTTAGGAGGACTGATTAGCTCTTTGTTACAGATCAAACACACAGTAATACCCACCTCGCCCATGGCCATAATCCACAGTTTGCTGAATGACAGGTGCTTTAGGAACTGGTGGAATAACTGGAGAAAGGGACACTGGTACAGATGATGGAACAGAGGTGTGGACAGAAGGTATTTTCACAGGCGAGGAAACAGGTGGAGGCATCATTGACTCCTGTTTGCGTAACTCGTACTCCATATTTGCACCTTTATCCTCATTTGTGTCCCACAGTCCGTGGAAAGAATCCTCATCCCAGCGTTCCTGTTCCACAGCAGAAGGTGATGGTTTTAAAGACTGACCATGACTTGGGGTTGTAGTTGGAGCAGAAACTGGAGCATGTGGCCTTGTCATAGGTGTAGTAGGCCTTGCCAGTGGGGCACTTGGTCTTGTCACAGGGGTGGGCTGTCTGAACAACACGGGAGGCTTTATAATAACAGCAGGAGAAGGTTTAATAGCCTGGGCTTCTACTGATGCCTCTGAAGATAGCTGAGAAGAGACCTAGATGCAGAAAGCACTTTTAATGTAGCTCTGTAAAACTAACCTTCTCTCATCCTCTGTAAGTCAGTGCAATGGCAATCAGTAATCAAATCATACGCATTTTCTAGTACCTCCATCAAGGTGCTACAGGTAGGAGGACTATTTCCAAAAACTGGTGGCCTGATTTAATTTGGCATTTGTTCACTATGTGAAGGTTTAAATACTACTTATTTTCTTCTTCAAAATAACCTTACCAATTTAAGTTCCAGTAGGCCTATCTCAGTTCAAAAGTGTCTACTGTTTTATTCCCAAAGACTCCTGCTGTCTGCAAAGATTCCTGCTGTCTGTGAGAAGGCAGAAAAAGTCTGAAAGTAGGGCAGCTTGGTGAGATGTAATAGGATTGATAAGGCCAGTTTCTTTGTGGAAGTCACTAGAAAAATTCACAGAGAGCAGAAATACCTGGAAAACCCTTAATGAAATCAACATAGATGAACATAAGAAATTGAAAGGTCTTGCCCAGTAGAAAAACAAACCAAACAAAACCAAACCCTTCATGAACCAAACATCCCCATGGAACCCCAGTATCAAGACTTTTCAGCATCATAGCAAATGCCAAGTTACAGGCAGCCAGCCTTATTAGCAACATGCAGCAAAAATTGCAGAATGGTTGTAGATACAAAGTCGAACTCTGTAATAACAGTTAAAATTCACAGCAGAAATATTCGAAGGCAGGAACCCCTAGAAAGACAAGAGTTGTTTGAAAACCTCTAGACAGATGAGTGAAGTAGTGGGAGATACTTCTGCTCAATTTTGATATTTTGTAACTTCCTAAAGGCATCAACATACCTGCAGTTCTTGGTAGCAAATCACTTCCATTATTTTACTTTACAGACACTGCAAATAAGGAAGAGGTCACCTAGGCAAAAATAAAACTTGCAGTGTTTCATTCACTGCATAACACCTCTCTGGAGGGAGGGACAAACAAAGCTTGGTCGGGCTAAATGTCAGCCCCAGAAGACATTATGGGTAAATTTATTGGTATCAGTAACTCTGGAATTAAGATGCGATGAAGAATAAAGACTCTGCATCAACTCCTCCAATATACATTTAACAAAAATGTTTATTCGTTCTAGGAGTGATTTATAAACCTCAGTTAGCATGACTGCAAAAAGTTCCATCGATTTCTGACTGGACACGAATTATCAAAAATCCAGGCATCTGAGAAGAGTTCCCAGAATTAAACAGGAGATGAGGGAGCAGAGAAGCAACTTACATCACCACAGGAGATGAATTCATGTAGGTACACAAACGTGAGTTTCCATGCACTTTGTATTATAGAAGGTGAGTTCCCAATAAAGACAGCAAATAGAATGCTAATGCCCATGCTACATTGAAATATCTCAGTTTATCCTCAAAATTCTCTAACTTCAAAGAGGAGAGAGCGCTTGAAGTATGAAAAGCCGTATAAATTGTCAGAACTTAAGCAAGGGAACAGCAGAGTCTTCTTGTGAGTCTTATATCCCTGTTTTGGAAGAGCTCACCTCCTTTTGCACATCACTCCTCAGAATCTAGACTGTTGAACCTCACGTGCTCCTGTCCCTGACAGGTCATTCTCAGAAGACATAGTGGACTGAGTAGAAAAAGCTTTGGAAAATTTAAAGAAACTAAGAAGTTGCTTTGCCTCAAGAGAAGACTGATGAGGTTGTAAGGATTGCTGGAGAGGCATTTCACAGAGAAGTTTAACCATCAGTGCATAGAACTGGTTGGAAATACACATTAATTATAATAACTACCAACATGTTATTAACATAAGACAAATATACCTGAAAGGCACCTGGCCTTGTGCTTGTGTTCTGTGATCTTGGAGGGTCCTGTGCGGAAATGTCAGGTTTAAACTCCTTCAACTTCTGTAGTTGTTCTTTTTGCTCTCTGCACATGCATCATAAGAAAATGTTATCAGTCTATAGGTTAAATAAAAAATACAAAATCAATGCTCAACAGCGAAAACACATTACGCTAGAATAAGGAGCCAAGTCCAAAGAAGAAAAGGACACAGTAGGCTTTACATGGGCAGTGCTGTGATTCAGAAATCCCTTTTTCACATCCACCTAACCATGGAGGTATTTAGTGTATTAGCTGCATGTTTTTTGATCACAGGTTTCCTGAGACACGTAGTTTTGCTTTTGTGCTTGACCAGAACCACTCCCCTTGGACAGTAAAGAGTAAAGCTGGATTATTAGCTTCTGCCAACACCTTCTGGAAACAAGAAACCCCTTGGAAATGTATGCATAAATGCTCTCACTTACTTGCTCTGGTTCACATGCTAACAGGATTGAGACCATCAAAGCACAAGAGATTCCAGTATTTAAAAAACAAACGGTAGTTCCAACTTTTGTTTCTTTGTTTTATATATCAAAATGCTATTTAATATACAACAATACATAATCTACAGAGCAGAGACATAAGTCCAGCCATGAGTAATACAACCACTAGATTATAAAGTTCTATTGAATATGATTTCCTTTCCTTTCAGTTTATGTTAGCATTTTTAACCTAAGCTTTTTAATTGCTAATAATGCAGTGTATTGAAGTAATTCCTAAAGAAAAACTAAGAATGGGATCCCTCTGTAGAAGGCACAACAGAGACCACCCAGAATAGTAATGCATCTGTTCAGTGTCCAGCAGAAGGGGAACTTGGCTCACAGAAAAGGATCCCCAGTGCTGTATTAGTACAAAAAGTAAACCAAGCACTACACTAGATCACTATACAGAACAGCGTGCAGCTGAGAGTATGCTGTTTTACACACAATAAAAGCAAAACCAGATGAAGGCTTTACTTTTGGAGATGAAGGCAATTATGCACCACACCTCTGGTACAACTCTTGGCTCAAAAAAAAGTAATTAATAAGCAGTCTCCTTAAAGTTGTTCCCACTATTCAGACTCGGGTCACCTGCCTATAAGAACCTAATGAGAAGTACCACTGTAACTAGTTTTAAGATTACCCTCATATTCAACTGAAAATCAGTATCATGTTTCTGTTCTCCCTTTTTACTGGCTTAGAAAGATGTGTATGTAACAACTTCCTTGCATAAAACAAGTTTTAGTTCCTATGTTTAAAACAATTCTAATGAACTATCCACTCTGGTAGTGATTCCCAAACTACAGTCCTTAGTTTAAGTCCACTAGCTTGCAGCTAGTCACATTAAACAACAGAACATGTGCCCAGAAACTGAAGCAATAGGAAAGTTAGGAAGCTGAAAATAATCTGTTACTCCAAACTTTTGGCAAATATTACTTTATAACACAGATTTCACAGTTACTAACACTTGTTGAATTAATTTAATTGCAGTGATTAAATTATTCACAATAAAAGTTCTCTCTCTTAAAGACTAATTTTTCTTGTATTTTGGCATGCAACTAAGACCTTCCGTATGGGACAGATGCTTAGCAATCTTACAAGTCTGAAAACAAAACAGCCTGAAGAAAAGTGCAAAACGTCTCTACCATGGTTTGGGTTGGAGGGGATCTTAAAGATGACCTAGTTCCAAGTTCCCTGCCATGGGCAGAAACACCTTTCACTAGACCAGATTTCTCAAAGCCCCATCCAACCTTGCTTCTTCTATTACCGATTTTGTAATAAACATCAATTAAAGCCTTAGGGAGTCTAGTAACTGCTTTCTAAAAATGTGGTCTTGATGAACTCTCACATTCATATCCTCCTAATAGTTATTACTGTTTTTATGCTGATCCTCAGAACTAAGAACAACCAAACTTGACAAAATTATTCACTGACAATATCGGATTTCAAACGAGAGAGCACTGTAAAAAGAAAAAAAAAAACATGTATGCTTTAATTAAAAAGCAAGCAGTATCCAAAAAATTAAATAGGTCTTAGGAACCATATTAATGTAGGTCTTGGCAGGTAAGTATTAAAAAGCAATTATCATTGAGCTCATCTGACACTAACAAAAAGACTGAAAACAAATTATCAACAAGGTAAGCTGAGGATAACAAAAACATTGGTCAGGTGATGGGATAGATCTTCTCCTTGAAAGTAACAAACAGGGAATGCCACATTCATGGGGAAAGGGCCAACCATCTATTTAAGAAAAAAAGTCCGTCTACAAAAATTGTGATGGCAGTACTCCAAATAACTTGTTACACATGAGCTCCTACTATCATGCTGTGAGTGAAAGAACTGAAGCCATTACTGTGTCAATTTGAATGAATCCCACTGAATGGGGATTCCCATTCAAAGTCACAGAACCAGGTAACTCACCGAAGCATTTTGAGCTCCTGGGCAGCCTTCAGAATTATCTCATGCTGTCTTTGGCTAAGGACCATCACTCCTCCCAAGGACTGGTCAGAGTCCAGGTTTGAATCTGCTCCCAGCATATCACAGGAATGTGAAGGTGGAGGAAGGGATGAATCTGAGTGGTCATCCAGAGATCGCAGTCTCTCTCCATCATCTGGATACCACCTATCCGACAACCGTTCCCTCTCCCAATCAGTCCTTTCAGGAAGATAGTCTTGCTTTTCCCGCCATGTGTCGTATCTTTCTGGATACTCTCGAATCCTAAGCTCCCCCCTGTCTCGGAGATCTCTGTCATAATGATCTCTGTTCCTATCCTCCCTCCACCTATCTTCACGATACCTGTCCAGAGGCGGAAGAGGTGGTAATGGTGGTAGTGGAGGGATATCCAGGTCACGATTCCCCATTTCTCTGTCATCCATAGCTCTCATGTCCCAGTCTCTATCCCATTCTCTGTCTAAATCTTGATGATAAATATCTGAGGATCTTCCACTTCTCTCTAGATCTCTCTCTGGTTCCCTTTCTCTTGGCCTTTTCCAGTCATCCCACCATGAATCTCGTCTGTCATGATCAGATGATAAAGGAGGTAGTGGTGGTAGAGGAGACAATGGAGGCAGTGAATGGTGGGATTGCAACCTGTCATCTCTGTCATATGTATCTACAGAATCATCCTGATAATCAGAGTTGTGATCTCTCCAGTATTGTTCTCTTTCCCAGTCATCCAATTGCTCATGCTCCAAAGAAGGGTCATCTTGACTATCTAAAGGAAATTCTTCTTGCATTGTATCGTCTTCATGACCCCAAGAACCCCTGAACGTTTCATCTCGATGGTACGGAGGCAATTCATCAGGGTCATCTCCTAGGTGAATGGGTTTTCCCATATTGCCTGTTTCAGGTCTTCCTGTTTCCCTCTCATGGCTACCTCCCCTCCTGACAGGACACCTCTCACGACTACCTGCCCGCCTGCCCAGGCCCCTCTCACGACTACCTGCCCGCCTCATGGGGACTCTCTCCCGGCTACCTGCACGCCTGACAGGGACCCTTTCCCGGCTACCCGCCCCCCGCATAGGTTCTCTTTCCCGGCTACACTCCCGCCTGACTGGGCCTCTCTCCCGGCTTCCTGCCCGTCCCCTGTCCCAGCTGCCTGTCCGTCCAGCTAGTTCTCTGTCTCGGCTAGAGAATACCCTCTCATGGCTATCTGACCGCCCACCCAGGCCCCTCTCTCGGCTGCCTGACCGTCCATCTGGCATCCTCTCTCGGCTGCCTGACCGTCCATCTGGCATCCTCTCCCTGCTGCCTGCTCTCCTGAACATTCCCCTGCCACGGATGGATGCCTGCCTAGCCTGCCCTCTGCCTCTGTATACATATCCTCTGCCACAACCATCGTCCATCCTGCCCATTCCCCAACCACTGTCCATCCTTCCCATTCCCCGGCCACCATCCATCCTTCCCATGCCCCTGCCACGGCCCATTCCCCAGCCACGGCCATCCCCCTGCCCTCTGCCACGGCCCCTTCCTCTGCTTACTGGTCCCTTGCCTCTATCTTCATGCATAAATGGCCCTTTCCCTCTGCTTTCTGGTTCAGGTAAGCCCTGGGTGCTATCTGAAGCAGTCAACTGGCCATCTGGTGAATCCAAATCCTCATTTCCTGTTACAGGTGTTACAGTATTCTGGTTCTGAGCAGGTGAAGTAGGTGCCTTCGACTCTTCTACTTGCTGGTTAGGATCATGTGAACTCCATGTCCACTTTTTAGGAGTGTCTGAAATAGTTTCTTTGACTTCAGGTTTGGATGGTTCCTGTTGAGTGTCTGTCAGGTCCTCATTTGGTTCAATGGGACCTGCACTCTGTGCATCGGGAGTAGACTGTGTTCTGCTTACAGTCTGCTGATCACTAGCTGTGTCTGTAAAAGGTTCTTTGTTTTCTGACTCCGATTCTGTCTGTGCTTGCTGCTTCTGCTGTCCCAAGTGAGGCCTGGGCCCCATCCACCGTGGGCCACTAGGTCGGGAACCATGTCCATGTGATGCATTTGTCGAAGTATAAAACTGTCCTGCTGGTCCTCGTGGGATAGACCCCCATCTACTTGAAGACTGTCCATCTGTATTCTGTCTGTCAAAACGTGACCTGTATCCTTCTGAGCGCTGAGAGTCAAAACGAGGTCCTCTCTGTCTTGAGCCTTCAAACTTGTCATATCCTCTTCCTCGACATCCATCAAACCTATAGATGACACAACAGCAATTTTATTCAAATGAACATGTCATATCAAAATCTTATTGATTAATTTTATACAAAATAGACAACTCATGTGCCAAGTCTAGTTGTTTGGATGTTTGGGATTCACAGTCGTACATCACTGGATGGGTTAGGAAGTTCAAAGCATGGCTGGAGCTGAACACTGCACAGGATGCAAAGAGTTATAAGAAGGGCTTCTATAGTTATGTGAGTCAGAAAAGAAAGATCAAAGAAAGCGTACCCCTTGGACAAACACAACTGGCAAACTAGTAACAATGGATGAGGAGAAAGCTGAAGTACTCCACAACTTTTTTTGCCTCAGATTTCACTGGCAACCCTATACCTCTTGAGTGGATGGACTACAAGACAGACTAGGGGAGCAAAGTCACTCCCATTATAAGAGAAGATCAGGTTCATGATGACCTGAGGAACCTGAATACATAAAAATCTATGGGACCTGATGAGATACATCCTAGAAGCCAGATGCAATTGACTACTGTAGTTGCCAAGTCACTCTCCATGATATTTGGAAAATTGTAGCAGTCAGGTAAAGTCCCTGGTGACTGGGAAAAGGAAAACATTGCACCCATTTTTAGAAAGGGTAGAAAGAAGACCCTGAGACCTACCGACCTGTCAGTCTCACCTCCGTGCCTGGGAAGACCCTCCTAGAAGCTATGCTGAAGCACATGGAGGACAGGAGGATCACTGGAGACAGTCAGCTTCACCAAGGGCAAGTCCTGCCTGACCAACCCAGTGGCCTTCTATAATGACTACGGGAAAAAGGAAGAGCTGTGGATGTCATCTGTCTGGACTTCTTTAATGCCTTTGACATGGACCCCCCACGATACTCTTCTGTCTAAACTGGAGAGATGGATTTGATGGGTGGGACTGTTCAGTGGTTGATGGGTGCTGAAGGGATTGAGAATAGCCCTGCTGAAAAGGACTTGAGAGTGCCGGTGGATGAAAAGTTTGACTTGAACAGAAAATATGTGCTCGCAGTCCAGAAAGCTAATTGTATCCTGTGCCTATTACTGCACATCACTGAGCTCTAAACCAATGCTCATATAAGACATGCACTAGCAAGTAATGAAAACAGTCTGTTCAGAACTGTACATTCAAGAAATCCCCATGACCAGAAACAACACTTTTTAAAAACCCTCAGGAGGTAGAAAATTATTCATTTATAAAAAATTATTTTACACTGCTAGCAATTCACAAATTATCACTTTGGAAGCAAGGAGAAGGGAAATAACTATGAAGATACTATTGTAAAGTCTAGCAGAGTATGCAAGGATAGAAATGATTGAACAGAACACCACTGTTCTCTGATTCAGGTGGCATCCCATCAACCCATCTTGAACTAATGATCAGGTAGAAGAGATGTTGCTTTTGCAATCTGATATCATGTAAAGTATTAAAGAAAAACATTCCAAAACCAAGATCTTGGATTAAATCATATAGCAGGTACAAAGTCACATAAAAGACATGGAACACTGTATTTTAGAATAGCTTTACATTAAAGCCTTAGGCCATCCACCTGACAAAATGAAGATTTACGTTTTAACAAAACTGTATCTTACCAAAAGATAAAGACAGCATCTCTAAAACCAAGACCATAACAATATAATGCAAAAGAAAAAGTCGCAAAGAATCCTGATGCTAGGATCCTAAGGCTCAAATCTTCTTTTCTTTCCTTCTCTCTCTTGCTTATAATTGTCTGAAGGCTAAGTAATGCTACATATGTAGAAAACAACTGATCTGTACTTAAGACAAGCACTGCCTCCCTACCAAACAGCCATTTTGAAGAGTGCACCAAATAGGACACTAACATAACTGCAAAACACACTAGAAGTTCAAGTACTGGTGAACAGCTTTGAATTATCATTTCTTTCTGCAATAAGTGTTGGATTACAAATAAAGAATACTTTTTATCATTTCTAAAAATAAGTAGCATCTAAATTATCGGTAATTAGCTGTGTTTGTATATTCAACTGAACATATAACTGAATCCCTTTCGCAACACCGACATTAAAGTGCTACTGTACATAGTAGCACCTTAAAAACAATCTTTTGATGTTTTGTGCTTCAGATTTTCCTAAACTGTGTTCCAAGTACCACAGATAAAATGATGGGAATATAGATCACTTTTCATGTAGGATCACTCTTTCAAGTGAGAGTTATCATCTTCAAACTAAGGACAGCAGACATATGAAATATTTAAAACAGCTTTCCTATTTTCAAAAAAGGAGTATTGAGTTTCTGGGAATGAAAAGGGTGCAGCATCCCCAAGCACTTTACTAGAAAAAAAGTGCAAACTACTCCAGATAATGCTCAGGTGAAAGACATCTATATATCCCTGCTTTAAAAAGATAAATACAGAGAACATGGTGTACATATATTAAAAACAAAACCTCCACCAGATAAATACACACACATTTCACACAACCTCAGGAAATTTGAGAATAAGATATATGTTTCATTTCTTAATACATCACTGAAAGTCTTGTAGCATGGAACAAAAACATCCTTACCTAGGGCCTCTGGGGCCTTCAAAACGCGCTGATCTAGGAGGATCTGGAAGCAATCCACCTGACCTCACTGGTTTATCCTGCACAATAGATGTGTGTGTTGAAGACACTGCAGAAGTGCCTTTCAGTTCCCCACATCCTTGCTCAGATGAAACAGATCCAGTTTGTTTACTAAGATGAACTTGAGACTTCCCATGGTCTGATGAGCCAAAGGATGAACTTGCTTGAGAATGATAAGGTGAGTAGACAGTTGAACTAGCTATTTTTGATGCATAGGTACCAGGGGTGGGAAGCAGAGCTGGCCTTGGTGTCTCAGTAGATTGACTGCTTTGAGAACTTGATCCTGAAGGGACAGAGGAACTGGACAACTGAGAAACAGAAGAGAGAGGTGGGGGTACCAGTGGAGGTGTAGTTGAAGGTAAAGTTGGAGGCATAATAGGAATGCCACCTTGACCAGTTTGAGAATATGGAATAAATGGAGGTGGCAGGGAAACATTTGCAGGATACTGATTCTTCAGATTTTGGAGTGAGGTCACTTTCTCCTGCAGGTGGGACTGAGTGACCTTCATCTGTTCATCCCATGCTTTCCACTGTTTCTCATACTCTTGAAGCTGATCTTTGTGAGGGTAGGTTTGAAGCTGATGCTGCCACTGTTGGTTCATTGATCGTTCCCAATCTTTATGAAGCTGCTGGAATTGTTTTTGCTGTGCCTCATAATGCCGCAGCTGCATGTCCACTGACATTGTCTGCAATGAGAACACGAGAATAGCTTCATAATACCATCTTAGTTACTTTCAGAGCCACATATTTCAGTATCACTTGTAATATCACAATTTCAGACTTGGGCAGAAGCTTGAGGAAGAACTACACTCAAACAAAAGCAAACACCAACCGTGATGCCTAAAGTCATTGTGACAATTTATACATTTTATGACTAGAGGACATCCATGTATAAGAGAATTTACCAGGACAGCTGAAAAAAGCAATAAGCTGCATTATTATTGAATTCTAACAATGGCTAAAGTCCAAATTAATCTTCATATGTAGACATGGTATGTGGCTATTTCTCAAGGTTTCAGCTTTGGCTATTAACATGCTTAGAGTTGCCTCAGCTGTCAGCAATCAGTTTTCTCTAAGCCTTTGTCACATCTTCTTATTTGCACAACGAAGCTTCTTTCAAAGAGATCTGTCTTTCATTATGTGTACATAACCTAATATTCATGGCTTGATCTTGCCTGAGATTTTTAAAGTTTACCCAAAGAGATTTTTTTTTTAAAGTAGACAGCCCAAACTACAAATAAATACTTAATGTACAAACTCCACCTGACTGAGTTGAGCTGACTCAACTCTCTAATACAGTAATCAACTTATACTTAGAAGCTTAAAGGTTGAAACATTGGTATAATTATCCAAATTTGTTAAGACATTTTATTTCACTGATTATTTGAGTAAAAAATATATGTGAGATAGTGATTTTCTTAATTATTTTACTGCATATTTTTAGCATCTATATTTATGATTGCACATATTTATTTTTGTACTACTCAATGTTGTAAAAAAGAGCAGCTACCAAACTACTCTTGCAATCATCTGTTTACCTGACCTTTCTGAATTGTTTCTCCAGCAGTAAAATGTTCAAAGCTAAGTAAATTCAATATTGTGTTCATCTTTCCTCCTTTATCATCCAGGTATGTCTGAAAAATCTTATGACAAGTGTAAAGTATTGTACTTCTCATCCTACTGAAGCTTCCTCACCATTCATCAATTCTTTTTTCCTTTTGAAGTTGAGTGACATCAGGAAAAGGGGATATAAACAACTACCCAAGCAGAAAAAGTAGCTAGACAAATGAGTCAAGCATCACAAATTATTCAACTATTTATTTTTCAGCAGACCATGAGTGCTAGGTCACGCAGGTAGTATATCCCAGTTGATATGTCCTTAGTGTCTCACCTCTAAGTGTGGAGGCTGTTGCATGATCTGTTGATACTGCTGTACTATCTGCTGCAGCTGAGCATGCTTCTGCATTATTCTCTGATACTGAAATCCAACCCGGTGATGGGGGTGCTGTTGCCACTGAGCTGCTGCCACTTGCAATTGCTGCAATCTCAAATCTTCCTCAGGGTCATCAGGAGGTTCAATATTGAGCTAGAGAAAAAGGCAAATACTATAAATAAGAGGAAGTTGCTTCTGTCAGAAGAAAAACACACTTGGTCACTACATAGCTTACAGGAACTTTACCACTGTTCCTTATTTTATCACTTAGTGTATTTCAGTGTTCTGGCCATCCACAACAGCTGATAATTTTTCAGCTTCTGGAAGGCTGATTTTTATTTCATCTTTTTCTAAGGTGAACAGTCTAATCTAAAGGTTAGGCTGACGACAACTAAGTTATTCATACATAGAGAAACTACCTAAAGGAAAGAGATTAATGAAAATCTGTTGCTCACAGTAAAGGTAATGAGAAAGCAGTGGTTTTTCATGATGAGGTAAAGTAACTCCACATGCATTATTTTTTCCACTTTGTAGGAACCCACACACTGTAAGTTAAAGTGGAGCACATACTGCAGGGTAATTTACTAGCCTACAGTAATTGGTTCAAATATCAATCATGACCTTCACCCATTATACAGTAACTTTTATTAAGCATGCTGACAAAAATACTCTGTGCAAAATTTTTGGCTTTCAGACAAATTATTAACACACAGAAAGAAGGGGAGTCAGAACACACAAACTACTAGAGAAGAATTAAGAAATAGTGTCTTAAACATAGCATTCCTCATCTACGGAGTACTTGATTTTGCACTTAGGTATCACAAAGTGTCTCTCATAGACAAAGATGACAATGCTGGGGAAGGTTTGAGGGACTCAAGCTCAGACTTGCTTTATGCATGTGTGGGTGACTATATAAGTCTATATTTTTATTTTTTAATTGGTAGAGTTTTACCATTTTTTTTTAAGATTGCTTTACCATATTTACTTACTGTTACAAAGTGTACATGAGAATTTGATGGCATTATTTTACTGGGTTTTTGACCCATCTGTGTTAACAAATGGAGTGGCATCACTTTACAAAGTCTACCTGAGTTTCAGTGGATGTAAGAGAAGACTCATCTTCTTTGGAAGCTGGAGGCAGGGAATCATTAAGTGGAGGAGGTTCAGACTGCTGATTTGAAGCACCCATTTTCCCTTCTTCAGACTTTGCTCTCTGCTCAGATGCATCCTTCAATACCGGACTTTTCATCTGCTGCTGTCCCTGAGCATGGGCTTTTGCCCTTTGCTGCAGGCTGAGCAGGTGCTGCTGGTACCAGTATTGCTGCTGTTCCTACAACAGATGTAAAATTTCTAAGACAGTTTTCACAAGAAAAACAAAGGAAAATAATTCATGATAGTCAGTAGAATCATACTGTAGAAAAGCTTTTAAAATTGTTTTGAGGAAAAACTCACTTCTTCAGCAACATTATTGCAACGGATGTCAGAAGATCAAACCAAAATTCAGATACCACTATGTATGACATAGAACCCACAGCAGAATTTACTTCTTACCTCAACAAGCTTACTGTTCTATAACTACAGCAAATAATAATAGCAAAAAGCTGGAAGATAGGCAATAATAAATGAAATTACTACAGACATGTTATAAATACCATATTTATTACTTTTAGTGCTTTTTAAATCCATGGTATTTATTATGAGCTTAACTTAGATAAAATGAAGGAGAAAGGGAGAACAAGAATGAGTAAGCCACCAGTAAAGGGAAAAAGGAAGAAATGCAGAGAAGAATGAACAGAGAACACAGACATCAAGTAGACTGAAAATGACAGCTGAGAAATTGCAGTGGAGATATCTGAATAAAGGTTATGGAAAGGAAGAAGTACAATCAGAACCAGTATATAGTGAGGTTTGTGTATCATCTGAATTCGCATTAATCCTAATTCATTCAAAGCTAAGAGATAAATAGATACAGTTGCACCCAAAAATTATCCATTTAAGAAATAATTAAGCTTTCAGATTCAAATATTTCAGGGTAGAATTAGAGTACTCGGCACAGATGACAGTAGTTTCAAAGGAAAGTAAGCTGCCACCAACACAAAGAAAAAAAGACTAAAGATAAGTATCTCAGCACTTAAGTAGTGGTGCATCTTAAAGAGATCAGAGTAGGAACAGTCCTGTATCTCTTCCAATGAGAAATATCAGGCATCCAATGACTAGCAGGACACACGTAGTAGGCAGCACTTTACCTGCTACCAAAGTCCCTGCCAAAGACAACTGCAAGGGCTAAAATTTTGTGGATTCATAGTTCCATAAGCTCATAGAAGAAAAATCTACATACTTTAAAAATAAAAACACCATTTGCAGATAAAGCAGCTCCTGCATTTTAGACAAGTATTGCTATACACTTGATTTTTAAGTTGTTCTCTTAGCCTCTGCTTTTAGTCACTGTCAAAGACAGAATGATAAAATACTGTACTTTTTGGTCTGACCCAGGGCAAGCATTCTTGAGCTCTCATCTCAACTCTACCACCTCTGAGAATCTGTGACTGCTCTATATCTTTTATACCTTCCGTTATTCCCTTCTAGCCAAACATGCACAGTTAAGAAAATACACCTATATAAAGGTTAGTCATAAATAAAAAAGAATCCAAAAGATGCAGGTATTTTAAAATGTGTGACAACAAAGTGGTAGCGGTTGTCTGATGAGATTTCTCAAAACTGAAACATTCTGCCCATCTTATAACAAGTTTAAAAGAAGTGCAACCTTTCTCTAAAATCCTAACTCAAGCTCAGATCAGGTATGATGTTCTCTATTGGTAGCAAACACAAATATGAAGCTGTTTTTTTTTTTTAAAAAATTACTTCTGTAAAACTGTAACTTGGAAATGAGGTCAATGAAAGGAAAGTCTATGCTCCACAGACTTTAAGTTGATCTTGAAATTACTCCTGCCAAGAATCTTTTCAACAAGAATATGACTCAGGAAAGCTGTCATGACTTTGGGTGGAAGATGTGCATTCACACTCCAATATGGACTCTCTCAGAAACCTTCAAAAACATGCTGAAATAAGTGCAACTTACAACACGAGGAAGGAGTATACTTTCCCAGCTATATAAAAGCTGATTCAATTAGCCATCTCAAAGGGCATCAAAAAGTATAAAATGATTTTTCCATCATGGTGATAAATGTTATATGTGGTGAGCACGTCCTACTGCCGCAAAATTGTCTCCACAGATCCATTTTGTTTCCTTTTCATTCTACCAACTCAACAAAAAGCTAGAACTCCTAATATGACCAGGTGTTCCCACAAAGAGCTATGACAATATTATTAGCTATTTTTTGCAGTAGATGATGTCAGTGACACACGTATTACAGATTCTACCTGAAAAGCACAAGGAAAGTGAAAAGAAAGATTCTTAAAGCTTAGTCTGAGCAAAACAAAAGTGCTGATGTAGGAAATTTTGATTATGAAGAGTTTAGTTATTTGAGTGCTTACCTCCTCACAATGATTGCCATTCTTCAAGTCCAGTTACAATCCTTAAGCCCATGGAAAACATCAGCATCAACATACACCTTTTTCCATCATTGGCTGACCAAGAGACTAGGTCTGTTGCATTTTACAGGAACACTGAAACCAGCACTATCAGCTCATGACCACAGGACATACCACCAGAAATATCAGTGCAAAGCCCACACCAAAAGACTACTCCAAAATTAACTTAGCTGACCCTAGGCCACAACATAACACCTATTTTGGGGAACACTTTGTCCTTTTCTGTTATAGATAGCAAAATAATGGTTTAGTGCCTTTTATAAAACTAAAGGGGCTGTTTAAAGAGTGCAGCAGTCTGCTGAATGCTGATCTGGTAAAGCTAAGGTAGCTTTAACAGATGTAGAGAAATGCATATTTATGGGTACAGATGCACCCACACATTTCTGGTGTACTACTGGGGTGCACTAGGAAGAGCACTGCCAGCAGACTGAGGGAGGTGATCCAGCCCCTCTACTCAGCACTGGTGAGGCCACATCTGGATTTGCTGTGTCTAGGCTCCTAGTACAGGAGAGCCATGGAGCTCCTGGAGTGGGCCCAGCAGAGGGCAACGAAGATGATTAAGGGACCGGAGCATCTCTCTTACAAGGAAAGGCTGAGGGAGCTGGGCCTGTTCAGCCTTGAGAAGAGACAACTGAGAGGGGACCTCACCCATTTCTACAAGTATCTGAAGGGAGGGTGTCAAGAGGAAGGATCCAGGCTCTTCTCGGTGGTGCCAAGCAACAGAACAAGAGGCAATGGGCAAAAACCGACATACAGAAGTTTCACCTGAGCATGAACAAGAACTTCTTTTACTTTGAGGGTGACCATGCACTGGAACAGATTGGCCAGAGAGGTTGTGGAGTCTCTCTCACTGGAGATATTCAAGAACCATCTGGACACAATCGTGTGCCATGTGCTCTAGGATGACCCTGCTTGAGCTGGGAGGTTGGACCAGATGACCCATTGTGGTCGCCTTCCTTATCCAGTCTATGATACTGTAAATAAACAGCAGAATACAGTACCCAATTATCAAATGGGGCATTAATGAAATATCACAGGTACTTTAACTGGACTTGACAAAAGATGCATCTGATCGTAGAGAAACACAAGAATCCAGCCATTCAATCCAACTACACAACCATGCAAAAAACTACGCTGAACTCACAATATTGTCGAGGAAAAGAGCAGTATCTTAGACAGGGGAGGGAAATAATAAAACACTACCTCATGGTAAATTGCATAACATTTTCTCAGTTAAGAGAAAAACACTGATCTATTTGTCTGCAGCCACTGTTATTGTGGGATGAGAAGAGAAAGAACTGTTTTTAATTGCCAGTTTAAACAAAGGCCTAATAGGATATTATAAATGACAAATTACACTATTTCTCTACTTGGCTTTTAAGGTCATCAACAAGAAAGCATCACTGTGCTTTACTTTTTCCTATTCCTGTTGTGTAAGGACTTGTTACTCATTTTATCATTGAGATGATAGCCAAAAATCCTATTTATCTGTTACAATAAATTTGTGACCAGAAAAGTACCATATTCCTTTTGAATGAACTGAATTGTGCGTGAGAGCAAACAAACTACTCAAGATAGAAGCTGTTTGTACACTCATATACCAGACAATGTAAACTTCAGGAGTGTTCTGCTGCTTCTGTGTGCATCACAATAATGCATTACTTGCAATTCTTCTGGAGAGTGTTTACTGTTCTATCACTGAGCTCCATAATGTAAGAAGTCAGCAAGCTGCCTCAACACCAAATTAACACCACTTCCTACACCTGATTTTTCAAGGTTCTGGTTTTGTCATTAAAAAATTTAGTAAGTCTCATTGTTATCACTGTAAAAGATTAACTAGTACTGTCCAGAACCTTTGTAAAATTAAGTGAAATGAACTCAAAGTACCACGTTGCCAGGCAGTAATTAGCTATATGACGCTAATGTAAAAATACAATTACAAAGGTATCCCAGTAACTAACAAAAAGTTTCAGTGACTTCAATTTGATATGATACGATTTTTGCAAACTAAGCTTCAAACCAGAATCCTAAGATCAATTTCCCCAAATTAGATGTCTTTTAAACTTAAATAAAGTAATTGTAAAGTATGCACTTCAGCTTTGTTCTTGCAGCTGGATCTCTGCAAGACAACTCTAAAACCACGCAAAAGCCTCGGTGATCAACCTGACCCATGTACATAGCTGAGGGACTCAACATGAGTGTCTCCTTGTGCATGCTCAATCTTAAGCCACTGGATTGTCCCTGACAATGCAGATGAACAGTCTCATCAAGCTCGCTGGAACTATTCTCATTTAGGAAGTGAAGCATGCAAACATTTGCAGGCATGTTGGCCCTAATGTAGGCAAAAAAGCACACAGCATTAATATTTTGCACCCCAAAAGCATTTCAAACATTCCCCTCCAATGCCCTATACAATTTCATACTAGAAGATAAAGTATCAGAAAACGTGAATCTACTGTGTACTGCAACAGAGACACTTTTGCAACTTCAACTATGTGTGGTACGATTAATATAGTCACAATTCTACACTGATCAGGCAAACAACTGAAACACTATACCTTAAGAAAACTACATGAAGAAATCACTGAAGACAAGTGACACTCATCCTGCAACGTGCAACAAGCAAACAGACTGCTGTTCTCACAACAGACCAGACGAAGTCAACAGGGGTTACCTGGAGGTCGCTCACATGCTATACTCTGGAATACAATTCTCCAAGACGAACACACCCCCCTAAATTCAGCCAGGATTTACACTTTCGCTGAAACAACTCAACTGCTCTTGAAAAATGACAATTTGTTACATCCCAGCCACCATCCCTGGATAAAGAAGCACTTATGGAGCTTCCCCTGAGCCGTGCCGTTCCCAGACTCCCACGGGTTGCGTCCATACCCTCTTAAGTGTTATGCAAATACAGTGTGTTTATTAATCACCCTTACTCGGAGACCTTTGCAACGCCCCGTACCCGTTCATCGCCGTCGCCGCCACCGGGGCCGCCTTACCTGGGGGGTCATGGTGGAGGGGTCCGGCTGCTCCGTGCCACCGCCTTCCTTGGCGGCACCCTGCGCGGCCTCCGGCTGGGCAGCGGCGGGAGGGGGCAAGGACGGCTGAGGCGGTGGGAAATGCGCCTGCGAGGGCTTGGCCGGGGGAGGGATGGAGGGGGCCAGGGCGGGCTGCGCGGGTTGGGAAGGAGAGGCCTGGGAGGAGAGCAGGTAGGGCTGGGGATGTGCCATGTATCCCTGGGCGGGAGGCGGCAGGTAGGGCTGTGAGGCGGTGGCCGGCGGGGGCTCCAGGTAGGAGGGCGGCGGCTCGGAGAAGGAGGGGGGCGGCTGGCAGGGCTGCGCCCGTGGCAGGTAGGGCTGGAGCGGCGGGGACTGGGCCGGGGGCGGCTGGGCGGGGGTAGGTAGGGCTCGCCCTGGGGGGCGGCAGGTAGGGCTGGGCGGGGGGCAGGTAGGGCTGAGCGGCGGGCTGCGGGGACTGCGGCGGCGAAGACAGCTCCATGTCCATGGGCACCGGCTCGGCGGGCACCGGCTCGCCCCAGTCGCCGTGCCCGCCCGGCGGCTCCTGCCCGTCGCGGTCCCGGGCGGCGGCGGGCGGCTTGCGGGGCGGCGGCTCGCGGTGGGCGAACTGCTTCTGGTAGCTGCGGACGGGCGGCGGCCCCGGCGGCACCGGCGGCTGCTGCTGCCAGTCGGTGAAGGAGCCGGGCAGCGGCGGCGGCGGCAGCCCCGGCGGGGGCGGTCCCGGCGGCGGCGGCGGGCCCAGCAGCACGGACTGCAGCTGCTTCTGGTGCATCTGCTGGAGCTGCTGCAGCTGGGCCAGGTGCTGCTCCTGCAGGCTCAGAAACCCCGAGGAACCGGCGGGCGGCGGCGCGGCGGCGGGGGGCGCAGGGCCCGGCGGCGGATAGCTGGGCAGCGGCATCGGCGGCACGGCGGGAGGCGGCACGCTGGGGGCGGGATGGGCAGCGGCGGGGCGGGATGGAGGTGGGGGGCGGCGGGTAGTGCCCGGCCGCCCCGTACAAGCCCCAGGCCGGGTACATGGCGGAGCGCGCAGCGGGCACAGGCCCCGGCGGCGGCGGCGGGCGGCGCACGGCGCCTGCGCGGAAAGGCCCCGCCCCGCCGAGCAGTCGAGCGCGAACGCGGGGCCAGAGCGCCCAGAGGCGCCCCTGGGTGGGGGGCGGTGCCGGCACAGCGCCCCCTCGCGGGCACGGCCGCCGACCCAGGGACGGGGTGGGGACAGCGCGGGGGAGCCGCTGGGGCTCCGTTTTGGGTAGGGTTGCCGGCAGGTGCCGCGCAGGCAAGGCTGTGGATGGCTGTCCCGGCACCTCCGCGGGCCCTGATATCCCTGGGCACCAGTGCCCTCGGTTCCCTGGGGCGGCCGTGTTCCCTGCCCGCTGTCCCACGGCCGATCCCGGCACAGCCGGGTCCGGTGACCGGGGCTCCGTGGCGGAGCTGGTGAATTGTAGCGACTGAAGGGTGGCACGAGCGCGGCCACACGTCCCCCCAGGCCGGGCCCCGGGAACGGCGCACGAAGGGAAAGAGGTCCTGCAGCCTCGGGAAGGGCAGCGCGGAGCCCCTCCGAGCGGACGGGGGATCTGCGAGGTGATCCAGGCCCGATGATCCATCCCCAGAATGCCATGAACGATCCTGTTTCCAGCGAATATGCTGGCGATAAACCTGATATACAAACATGGAGACGAGAATGGAGCAGTGGATGTGTGAAAGTGCCTCATCCATTGCAGAAACGACTGCACTGAGATGCAGGAAAGAATTTTTTGTTTGTTTCTCTCTTCCCATACTGAAGTATGAGTTAAACATTCAAATATCCTCTGTATCCCGTTAGTAATGATTTATGCCAAGTGCTGAACTGCATTGTAAAGACATGAGGGCTTGTGTGTCTGAATTCTAGTAGCTGGGCAGCGCAGCCTCGTGGCTATGGGTCAGCAGGGCACCAGCACTGTGTGTGTCACTCCTTGCTCTCCTTCCCAAGCACAGAAAACATAAGCAATTTTTGTCATGTTCAGTCTCTAGTTCATGACTGGCAAATCAAGGATCCCTGGCCAGTGCAAAAAGGCACGTGTTGGAGGAAAAGTCCTAAGACTTTTCAGTCAAGAGAAAAATCAGGAAAACCAGATTGTTAGGTAGAGGAAAAGCTTTGTCCTCTCTGGTAGAAAAGCTGGACTTTGTGTTCATTTGTTGTTAAATTTCAGGGAATCCATAGATGTGATACATTAATACCATTAATCTACAAGAAAAGCTTTGACTGTGAACTCAAGCTATGGAGATGCAAATCTTTAAGAGAACTATTTTAATACACATAGAGCTGTCTTTTCTATTTTTTAGTATCCTTCTTTTCATCTAGAGGCGATTATTGATCCTTTTACATTTAGGATGATCTAGATTCCTCCTGCAGTGAATATGACTTCCAGACAGCATTTGTACTTTTAGCTCCTATTTCCTCTTCACCCTACAGGTACTTAGCATTTATATCCCTGAGCTCTATGGGCCAGTTTACTCATGAAGGTTTTGAAAGTCTTCTTCAAAATAGGGAATTCTTCCCCAGATAGGGAATTCCTATTGCAAACATCCTGTAATTTAGCCTCCTGATCTATTCACTTGAAGTGAATTCTCTTGTGATCAGTTTACTCACAGTTATTTCCTGCAGGCAGGTCTCTCCCAGTATTCTTGCTCTTTGTTGTGGTTACTCAATATTGTCAAGAGACTTGTTGCTTCTCTTATGAATACATGTACTTAACCACTTTCAGGGAGAACTGTTTTCCAGCCTACATTGAGGAGGCCAAACTGTAACTTTCAAATAACTTGACAGATGCTTTTTCAGTACTCACTTCTGGTTTGGACAGCAGTAGAGTTGACTTCCACCAAACAAGACACATTGGCTTTACCCAGTGTTACCTTGCCCTAAAGCAACCCTGCTAAGTTCACATTATGCCCTCTTATTCTTTTATTCAGAATATTTTATTTTTATTCTTTTATTCTATTCAGTCGGTAACATTAGTGGCTGTCATCATGTTTGTTTTAGTTCTTTTTTTTAAGCTCATGTTCTTTCTGCTTCTAATGCTACTATGCCGCCTCTCAGTTATCCCTAATCAACCTGTGTCACATCTTGGATTAACAGCTTAAATTTCACTTCCTCTGGTGGTAAGGCTGCAGTAATCTTAGGCCTTCTGGTAGCTCCAGAAAGGAGTAGAAATTATTTTCTCCCATTCTCTGTATAAATTCAAACTTTCTTTACATGGCTGCCCTGGTTGTTCTCTATCGTCTGAAGCTGTGGGAACTGGTTACAACAAGAGACAGGATGTTAGTGGGGAGGCTGGATTCTCTAATTACTGAGAGACACTGCAAGCATCTGTTTGATATTTAACTCCTGAGCAGGTTTAAACCAACTACCATAGTTGGGTCAGGAAGGAATTTCTCCTCTGGTTTGGACTGTCAGAGTTCTGCATTTGTGGGAATATCAAAGTATTCTAGCTTATCAAACTCAATTTCCTGTGACAAGGATCTTTCCTCCTTTGATATGCTGTAACTTGGATCTAAGGTTGGGATGCCATTACGTGCATTGAATAAATATTTTCCTCTGAAGCAAGTGTTTGGTACACAGGTTCCCTGGCACTGCAGGAGAAGCAGTTGATCATTCATGTGATCCTTTCCTATCCTATTTTTCTTCTGACAAGGTTCTTTGAGCTAATATTTAAGTTTTTCATCTTGCCAATTATACTCAGTTAAAAAAAATTTCCTGATGGGTTTATTCACTGCCAATACTTTCTCCTTGCTGCTCAGCCTCCAAACCTTTTAACGCATCTTTAGCAATTGCCTTATGTGTATTCCAGGTTCCTCCTCCTTTTACCAAAAGACAGAGTAGAAGGATTAAAGGACTTCAGTAAATGGACACATTTGTTTTGATTCCTACCCACAGCTACATACATGTATTTTCATGAAATCCCTCCAATAGGCATTATGCGGGCAGGTACATGTTCCCCAAATTCATCATTCCCCAAATGCTGTACTTTTGACCTCTTATCTGGTGCCAGAAAGATTTTTATCAAATATTACCATATATGTTCCTTTCTTTCTTCTCCAGTCTCCTTCCATTTAGGTTAATCCAAGCAAAGTTATTTGCACTGGAACAATTTTAGTTAACTCTTTACTTGAAGAATTCTTTCAAAACTAGAATTATTCTGAAAACCAAGTAACAGAGATCTAATCCTACAACTATTTCTCAGTCCTCATCTGACTTAACATGAGCTTCAAGTGTTCATGACAATACTTGATCATTATCTTAAAGAAATGTAACTTGGACTGAGAGAAGAAAACTAACGATATTATTTTTGAAATGCACATATTATACACCGAGCATGAAATTTCAGGGTTGTTGGCTACTCTCTACCTGGGTGGAGGCTGAGAAAATCAACTTCAGCTGTGATAGCCTGGAAGGGTCTAAGTTTTGAAAGCATCAGTTATTTCAGGGGTGTTTAGTAGGTGAGCCTGCAGCAAGCAAAGATATAGCAGGAGAGGTAGGTCTGATGTGTTCCCAAAGTCTTCTGCAGTATCTGTAGAGATAGGGTGCTAGCAAGAAAGTTACTAGGATGTCAGGGCATTTCCCAAGGACAGAAAATTATCTTCACTGTATGATGTCCAGCATACAGACAGTTGAGTTCAGCTATTATACAACCATTAAGATTGGAAAAGACCTCTAAGATCTAATCCAACCATTAACTGAGCACTGCCAAATCCATTACTAAACCATGTTTCTAAGTACTACATCTACACATTTTTTTTTTTGACACTTCCAGGGACACTGATTCCACCACTTCCCTGGGCAGCGTGTTCCAATGCTGGACCACCCTTTCAGTGAAGAAATTTTTCCAAATATCCAATCTAAACCTCCCCTGGCACAACTTGAGGCCATTTCCTCTCATCCTGTCACATGTTACCTGGGAAAGGAGACTGATCCCCACCTGGATACCACCTCCTTTCAGGTAGTTATAGAGAGTGATAACATCTCCCCTGAGCCTCCTTTTTCTGAGACTAAACAACCACAGTTCCCTCAGCTGCTCCTCATAAGTCTCATGCTCCAGACCCTTCACCAACTCTGTTGCCCTTCTCTGGACACACTCCAGCACCTCAATGTCTTTCTTGCAGTGAGGGGCTTAAAACTGAACACAGGACTCAAGGTGCAGCCTCGCCAGTGCCAATTACAGGGGCAGGATCTCTTCCCTAATCCTGCTGGCCACACTATTTCTGATACAGGCAAGGATGCTGTTGGCCTTCTTGGCCACCTCTGCAGCCAAACCAGTGTAAGGCAATACAGGATAAAAGCTCTAATAAAGTTTGGAAATTTTCTTAATTCTACCAAGAATATAAATTTTCAGTCCTCTCCTGTATGTTGGCCAGGAAGCATACTTTGGCATGTTGGCCCCTGCTGGCCCTGTCCTCACCACAGAGCAGAGAACATAAGAGCAAATTATATTGCTAAGAACTAAGGAGTAATGGAGAAGATATGAGAATGCAGATTTATGGCTTTGAAATACTTTTGCCCCTGCATTTCTCCTTGTGGCTTAACCATTGCTTTCCATCCCTTCTCTGACCACTTCCTTCCCTGCAGTAAATGCTGCAGGTCTCTGGGAGACTATTTGCAACACTTGCTCTTATTCTCCGACACTGACTCTTCTCCCAGCTCACATTAACACCTTTCCCCATTTGACACCTTCCTCCTCTTCCCTGATACCTAATGGAAGTGATAAGAGTTTGAGGTGCATAGGTCCCAAGCAAACAAGAGGGAGAGATCCATTCCAACCCAACCCTACCCTGTCCCCACCACTCTAAATGTAAGCAAAAGGACCGGACTGCCAGCCAACCCACTACTGACAGGACAATCTGAGCAGGACACTTAACCAAACATCATTCATTGTACAGTTGAATAAAAGCCCATCAATTCCCAGATCATCAATTCCCAAAATCTTCTAGACTGCTGTTCCAGAGAAGGCCCACCAACTGGTGCAGAGCTGATGTCTTTTCTCCA